TAATAATAATAATAATATTTATTTAATCCCCACAGACATAATTTTACAATGTATAGGACAAGTCAAAAATACATGTGCACAAACATACACTAAACTTACAAGAACATAATTAAAAATTATACAATAATAGCAACAATAGCATGGAGTGCAACAGTTACACCGTCAAAAGATCCTTATCTAAATAATAACCATCTAAGGTATAATAACATTTACTTAATAACAGATCCTTGACTTTGCGTTTAAAATGCAACACATGTAAATTTTTAAAACAATTAGGAAGATGATTATACATCTTAATACCCGCATATGAAATAGATTGTTCGAATTTTTGAGTTTTATGCCTCGGTAATACCAATAAATTGGGATTCCTTGTTGTGTAATGATGCAGAGACGAACTATGAAGATATTTGTTCAAATTTTCTTTGATGTATAATAAAGAACGAAATATATAAATGCAGGGCAAACTCATAATTTTATTATTAATAAAAACCGGCCAGTCCCAAGAGAGGAGAGAGATTGAAAATAATTCTCATAATTTTTTTCTGCGATCTAAATAATCTAACAGTGTCGGTGGCACAACCCCACAACACTACATTATAAGTAAGCAGATTATAAACCAGGCTGTAATAAATAGTTAACAATGAAGTCACTGGCAGTGATTGTCTTAATTTTAATAACGCATAATATGACTGATTAAGCTTTTTAATTAATAAGGATATATGATCCGACCATCTTAAATTGTCATCAATATATACTCCCAAAAATCTGGTGCATTTTTTTGAAGTTATCGAATTTTTACAAACAGTAAAATTTAATGGGGCTACCGGCGTTGTGTATGAGGAGTGGAAATAAATACATTCCCTTTATCTACATCGTACATCTCAGACCTTGGATGCTTAAATTTAACGAACATTTTTCTATGTGAAAGATAATCGACAACCCACTCCAGGAAGATCCCCCGAAATCCCAAGTTGTACAGTTTGCTTTTAATAAATTTGATATTCAGACAATCAAAGGCACGTGACAGATCAAAGAAAAGTCCCGCCACCTGTTTACCTACATCTAGCTGTAAATAAATGTCATCTAATAAATTGCATGCAGCCGTCCGCGTCGACCTTCCAGCCCTAAAGCCATGTTGGCAATTACTTATAATTTTAAACTTATCCAAAAAATCTAGAATTCGATTATATCAATGGTTTTTGATATCACACTTAAAATCGTAATCGGCCTGTAATTCGCTATGTTTTCAGCGTCACCCTTCTTATAAATAGGTAAAACAGTTCCAATTTTCAAGATAGATGGAAATTTACTGCTGCTAATCGATAAATTAATTATGTACGCAATATGTTTGGCTAAGACAGAACAGCCAGATTTTAGAATTCTCCCAGAGATATTATCCAGACCTGTAGAATTTTTATTATTTAATTGTTTAATTGAGTTTTCAACTTCTTGCGGCTGAACAGGTGTAAAGAAAAAGATTAAATGAAACATATTAGAAACCGTACAAGCAGTGGGTCTAAATTTGCCGTAAAACTGGGTTAGAGTCTTCTCAGTTATATTTGCAAAGTAATTGCCAAAAGCTGAAGCCATTTTTTGTGAGTCGTGCTCCAAACTTCCTTCAATGTAGATCGATACGTTATGGAGTGGTTTATTTCTCTAAATTGGTTTTATATACTCAGAATAGAGTCAAAAGTCCCTCCATTGATAGTTAGCAGTAACTCAGATTTGAGTAAAACTCACTCATTTCTGATGCAATAGTTTCACTCGTTGTACTCATACTAAGTAATAGAATGAAAATTTCACTCAATCGGGTGTGGATATTATTGAGTAAAATTGAGTGAAATTTGAGTGAATTTTTTTCCAGTGTATATAGACTTACAACAAGCATTTAGATCAATTCCATATCATTACATGTCAGAATAACTAATCGCATTTTCACTTTGATAGTAATAATAAAATATTACGGTTATGCCTGTATTCATCTTAAAGGTATCGAGATAATTCGATTTTTTTTTTAAATTGCAAGCAAATGAAACTACATGAATAGCTACTGTTTCATATCAAATAAAATGTCAAAAATCGATGTCATAAATAAGCTAAGCCTTTGAAAACTAAGATGCCCAATTTATTGTGGCATATTAATGAAAATTTCATTGAGAAAACAGGTACTACATTTAAGTAAAAAGTTTTTTATGATTATGAATGAACGTTCGGAACCGATTAGTGAAAAAATTACGTGATGATAAAGGTGATTCATTAAAAACGCGTTTTCTTAATATCACGGAACGGCTAATCGGCAGTTTCACGTGGATATCCAAGTAAAACTTTAAATTATTAATTGCAAAATTTGTCATTAAAGTGAATTATTATTGATTATTATTGACCAATTTTTCAAAATACAGTGCCGATTATAAATATGGAAAAGT